TGCTGCCTTGGGTTTACGAGGAAACAAAAGCATTTATTATAATTTATGTTACCTGTGGAAGTCGATTTTAATGAATTAGCGGATTTGCATGAATTATTCTAATTGTTTGTTATGTAAATCGGAAGAACGGATAAGGTTTGTTACTCTAATTTCAGATTATGCCAAGTGTTTCTTATTAAAATTACCTAATTGTACACGTACAGTCACATGCAACTCAGCAGGTAACCCGGTTCATATCTTTTTCAGAAGCATTTCTCTTCTTTAGTAGATATCCCTGCCTAATAATAACCTCTACACATTGATTAGGTACTTATACAATGTAAAAGTCAACGTTACTTATACCTACTTTAGAGCTTATAGGTAACAGACCTTAGTTTCAAATGCTACTTTACGGATTACGTACCAGTACTATAGCTTACGTAAAAGTAACATTAAGCTTTTAGTGTTTTACACATTTGCATTAAGGCGGTAAAGAAATTATTGATCACAGAGTCTTAAAATTAATAATGTCAACTGCTTCCAGTTTGTATTGTCTTATAATGAATATTCTAGAGTCTTATAAGAATGAATGTAGAGACTTATAAGTCGTATTCTATTAACGGGAAACTCCATTGGTAGTGCCATTCACGTATTCAATAACATAATGTCTATTAGAAACGGAATAGGTACCTGTTTCAAGTCCTATGTTAGCTCAAAACAACCAGTTTTCTGTGAGCCCTGTAGTTTCAAACTGACTTCTTCTTTGGTTCATAGACCTTCATGAATAGTTTCAGTTTCAGTTCTTACATACATACATATACCTATGACGCCTATATCCCTTGCGGATACACTAAAAAACGGCTATTTACACAACGTCTGACAAAAGTTTGGAAGTAATTCAGAAGACTGTGTAATCACCTGTATTAGTAAAAGTTGAATACTAAGACTGATTTAAAGCTCAACGTCTAAGTACTCTTTCTACAGGCATACAACTGGCGTACTTTTGGGGCACCAAGTGGTCAAATGCACTCTTGGACTCTGATACCAGTTTTTCAACTACTAGGTAACTAGAATACCGAGGACATGACTGCCCGAACGACTGACACCCAAGTTACCTATCTATAGCAGCAACGAAATGAACCTCTAATCACGTAGTTCTGAATTTAAATACTACGAATAGAGTTTTTTTGTTGAGTGAATTCGGTGGCGACTCAGTCACAGCCTTGTTCGATCTATAGTTCTAGACCATAGAAACCATACCATAATAGACTCAAAAATTATGTGCAGTGTCACAGTAAAATGAGCGCAAGTGATAAAAGTGAGGGGTCATCTCTGTATGTTTGTGTGTATGTGCAGTGAATAGTAATATGTAGTTGTGGTTATAATAGACAATCAATTGTATGTAGAATTTTAGATTCGACGCGTCTTTGGACCCTATAAAGGGTAGGGCTGACGTCAAAACAAAAGTCATAGCCTTATCAATTGCAAAATGTTTGATTAAGATTTGACAAACCACGACTGAAACTTTTGCTAGTGGCTCTTATGTTTACTGCTTGTATATTTTTTATGATTTAAAATATAAATACATGTAAAAATAATGCTTTACACATTTTAGAGCTATGAATAAAATTTATACTATTTAATTAAACAAAATATATTTGCACGTATACATATTTGATCATAATCAATCAAATCAATGAAATGAATTCAAAATCCTGATTGAAGGCAACGACTTGACTCATCATTACATATTTCTTTAAACTCTCTGGAAAATTCTGGACAGCCCTAAGTTACAAGGCTTTACAATAAACCCAGGCAGGTGCGGTACACGAAAATCAATCACTCGCGAACAACTCGCGAACGGTATGCCATCCATAAGTTCATCGCTCAGCATGGCTCTTGCCTCAAGTTTCATCTTCCATTTCTGGCTTACTAGAGCTCTTTTAATAATGCCACAGCTACAAGCAGAAATAGAAGTCAAAACGTGATCGACATCGCATCGGTTTTGCTACAAAATAAGCTGACAGCTTCGCAGCATACATTTCTAGTTCTATAGAGAACATTAATAATATGACACAGCTACAAGCAGAAATGGAAGACAACCCGCCATCAATAGGCGAAGCTCGTACACCATAACAAATGTCACTCGCATATCGCCACTTATTACTGCCGACAGAACAAGTTTACTGCAACTACAGTGGTCTAAAGATGAAGATGGGTGACCGTGTGGTATAACAATGTATGTGAGCGCTGAAAAATATTTTGCAGCAAGACTACACAGGTAAAGATATTGACGGCTATTAAAGTTTATAAAAATTAACAGAAAATAAGAAATTCGATGATTAAAAAACTTTATCCCGATAATTTTATGCGCATCTACGTTGGTTGCAACGATTTTAACACATTAATAAAGTTGAAATAAGTTCAAAAGATGAACTAGGCTGTAAAACTAAACAACTTTCCCCCTAAGACCAAGCAACAATTGGAACACCTAAGGCAGAAAATTGTCTCTGACATATTTTAAACGATTTTTTAAAACGCATCTACCTACCGACCTGCCTTAGTGTGCAGCGTTAGCGTTCCTGTTCTAGCCTATATTGTGCATGGTAAGGATAGGTCTATAGTATAGCCACTAGGTGGTGTAGGTTCCATAGTGTAGTAGTTCAAGAACATTACGGCGCCTGAAGATTGAAGGGAGAGGACTTTGTAGTTTGGCCGCCCGAGGACATGGACGTTTAGCAGAAAGTGGTAGTTTCTGAATGAAACAATTGTTTTCAAAGATACCCCTACGAGATTTCTAGTAGGAACACAGCGAGAGGTTAAACTCAGGTTGTGTATTAGTAAATTGGTTAAATACTGAATAAGAAAGAAGATCTTTGCCCTGCAATGTGATGATGACGACACGGGCTAATAATGATGATGATGATTATACTGAATAAAGAAAATGAGAACGTGAAGCTAGGTAAATCTTAAATTAGAAAATGTCGTATAGCTGGCCCCATGAATTTACTAATGTCAAACATCAAGATAAATGTAATGGTTCCCAATAATATGGAAAATAAAATTGTACTTTAGGGTTCCGTGGTTATTTTCACTCGAGCTTTCCGATTATAAACCCTTTAATGTGTGTTTAAAGAGTTTATAATCGGAAAGCTCGACAAAAACAAATAATGAGTGTAAAAGTGTGGCATAGTTTTAATATGGAAAAAAGTTTTATTTCCACCTTTGCCGATGAAGTCACTATCACCTCTACATGGCTCTATAATATCGTGAAGTGAGTGAAATAACGTTTCATTTTACAATTTGAAGTGCAATAGAAGTGTGAAAAAAGAAAGCTTCACCTTTGACCACCACAACTAACATGACGTAGGTAATAAAATAATTATTATAATCAGTTACTTTACCGACTCATTTCTTTAAGCAATTTCAAATGAATCATCTTTTTTATCTATAGCAATCGATTACAAATAGCACATCTATAATGCAATAGAATTGTAACCAGGATACTAATTTCGCGATATCTGCAAGTCATCAATGTAAGTTAGCATGAGAGCATCTTCTCAGTCAAAAAATAGATGTACGTACAGTTACAAACATACCTACATATCACACCTTATTCCCTTACTGGGTAGGCAGAGAGTATACATCTGTAAAAACGGCCATTTATACCACATCTGACAAAAGTTTGAGAGTCATTCGGAATACTGTGTATCACCATAGTGTCGGCTTGTCAGCCTGTCGCCTGAAATTGCAAACCACATCAACTCTCAAATCCCTTAGTCGCTTCTTATGACATCCACGGGAAAGATATGGGGTGATCTAATGCGGCGCCATATGGCAAGTACAAGTAAGGTTGGTGCTTTAAAATCATATAGGTATCACATTCAAAACGCAATCTCAATTAGAAACTGATCTTTCACATCGCAAACCACATGATACGATAATAACCAACCTGTCATCGATAACATTGACAAATTAAATATCAACGTGGAATACCAATTTAAAGTTGCGTACCGAAAACATGAAATCAGTTTAACATGTCTAATCAAATTCTGTTTATTAACCGCATTTGATGTTGGCGATAAGTTGATGAATTACCAAATTGCATTTGCCGCTGTCGATCTCGAAAATCTTCGAAATTTGTTGGAGCAAAGATGTAAAGCAGGTGAAGATATAAGTTGGTTTTGGTTATGAGGAGTGAAGATAGGTAACGTCAACTTTTGGCACAGTATATAATTAAAGAACATCCACTGACGCAAGGGGTCATGCGAACCATATGATAGAAATCATACTCAAAAGTCAATGTAGTGAATATGTCTAAGATACGAGCGAAATATCAATCATTGTATTGTATGAAAATAAAGTCTTAGGTGATTTACACACACAGTGTTTTGCGCTGCGCTATCGCAGCGTTAGGAAAATGCGAATTTCCACCTAAATTTGACAAAACACAAACTGTTTGACAGAAGCATCCGTCAACGCACCTTTAGACACGCGTCGTCGTATTTATATGACATTAAGTTGGAAATTCGCATTTTCCTAACTCTGCGATAGCGCAAAGCAGAAATAACTGAAACGTAGACGATATGTGTGTAAAACGCCTAATTACAAATACTGTAGATACTTAGTATAATTAAATTAAATTCAATTAGCAGTTTGAATAGACAAGAGCTAGACATGTATCAAATTAAGAAGTTAATGATCGCAATTATGTTTATGATTATTACCGAGTGTAAGTATCTCAAGATAGAATTATTGGCTAATTATAATGTCTTATTCAGTGGATCATATTTTACTCCAAATTTATAGGGGTTCAGATTTACTGAACAACTTTTAGCAACCCGGTAGGTAGATAGGAATTAGGTAAATTAAGTATATGACCAGTACCTACTTAAATAGTCATTTGCACATGAATATTTCTTTCCTATTTGTCATTGCGTTTTATTGTAGGTATGACATGAAGTATGTTTTAATAATACCTATCTACGGTATACTTTTTTTAGGAAAACTTACAATTTCTTTACCGCAGGCAGGATTTGAACCTGCGACTTTCGCCACCTGTACCGGTGACGCCACTGCTACCTGGGCTACCGCGGCTATATCTTAGCCTCAGAAAAGCAAGTGGATTTTGCTGAATGACGGTATCTATATTATTTAAATAGTGTCACATATATCTTCTGTCTAGCCTGAGTTTAGTAAGATAGATAGAACCTGAACCTACACTAATTAGCTATCATTAAGGCTAGTATTTGGTTTTTAACCTAGAGTTTATTAATCTCTAAGTAATCAAATCACGCTTTATAAACCTATACTTACTTACTAGTTAAAATCTCATCACTTACACCACACTAGTAATTTGCTAGTTAATGAAAATTAATAGTCAACAAGTGACCGAATAATTAATGATTGTTGCTACTTGGGGGTGATGCCCACTTACTTTTTTTTACTTTTTATTTAATATAGCTCATCTGATAATAGCCGGGAGCTAAAAGTATTGTAATCTAATATTATAATGTGAGATACTCATTTAATCTTGGCTAAGTTGTAAAAAGAAATTGTATTTAATTAATTTAATGATTGGTTGATTGACTGTCTGGGTTTTTTGCCGCGTGCGATTGTAATAGGTATGAATAACTACCTACAATTCACTTTAATAATAGATTTTTACTATCTAATAATAGATTTGACTGATACTTAGAGACCTAAAACTTATGCAGTGAAAATTATTTGGCAAAAAATGCCAATATCAGTGAGTAAGGTTTTAAAAACTCTCTTATAAATCAAAATAAAGTGTTTGAGTATGAAACTGACAGATATCGTTTTAATCAATTTATTTATTTATCAACTTTATTGTACAGAAAGTACAAAGGGCGGGCATAATGCCACGTGGCATTCTCTACCGGCCAACCAAAATCGTCAATTTATCGTTGTAATATATTTTGGGAATCCTGGAGTACCTATTTTTATACAATGGCATAGGAAAATGATAGTATTTCTACACAAGTACGGAACCCCAAAAAGGTACAAATTAAATTACAAGACGCATTACTTATAGAGAAAGCCAAACCTGAGAGCCTCTTGAAATGACTGGCGATTCTCAGCCCACTAGATTATTTCATACAAATGATTTGTCAAGTGTTCTTTACAAATCAAGCGATTCACGTTCTGGTTATAAACAATAATTAAAAAGGATGAAAGTTATTTTTAAAGTGCCCGTTGAAAGCGTGGGACGGTACGAATTGGACTGTACGGTTTGGTGTCGTAGTTCGATTGTTGATTTTGGCAGATCATTGTCTGAATAAGATCTTAAAAGTCTCAATTTCATGGTTTGCAATTATGAAACTTTGAATTTGAATGCCTAGCTTAAAATCATCTTTAAAAATAAAGTATAATTTGTGGTACCAATTTTATTATTACTAAAACCATGGTATAAATGCCGCTCATTAAATCGTAAGGTTCATCTTATTTTCAGATAGCAGTTGATTTAAAATAAAGTAGATCGTAAGACTTTGAATACAGTTTCAGCACTGCCACAGAAAATGAAATTTGTTTTAGTATAATAATCATGTTTGAGAAAATGTATCAATTTTTTCACCACTATTCAAATAACATACACACGTATAAACCGTGGTACCGGTTAGAATAGCATCAGCCCATATACTGGGTGTTATAAAACAACCAATAAAGCTGAAAGAAGGTCAAGGTGCTCATGAAACTGAACAACTTTCCCCATGGAACATGGGTCGAAAGACGAATGAAAAAATTTGGACTTCCCATACAAAGTGAACTCATTTTGTATGGGAGATTTATTGGTTGTTTTGTAACACGTTGTATATCACGTCTTAAGTGTCGTAAGAAGCGGCTAAGGATATGATAGTAGATGTGTATTGCATTCTCATGCGACGGCTGACAACCTCTGAGTATGATGACACAGTCTTCGAATGACAGTCAAACTTGTCACGCTCTGCCTACCCCACAAGGGAAATAGGCGTGAAGTATATATCCTAGTCTAATAACTAACATCTAAAATCATCACTTTCATAGTTAATCATATCTTCTAAACATGAAATCCCGCAAATCCGTTGCGCCTAATGTAAATGTACCTCCACGATTATGATAGTTACCATTAGCTTGATATTATGCGTGGGAACATACTACGAGCCTGGCCTAGGTATACTATACGACTGCAATATGACTTGGCCTAGGTTATGGCATACTATACGACTGATATACGACTAGCGAGCCGTAGATTTGAATGAAATATTGAAGTAAGTGGAAACTGCACCCGGCAACAGCTTGAGAATGATAGTTGGGTTTCGCGTGTGTGGTTTAGTGTTTGCTATATTATTATGACCTGTTAAATCTTGAGAAACGTACCTATTGAATGGATAAACTTACAGTGTCTTTTATACAGCTTATAGTTCCATACCTACAAACGTTCTGAATAAACACAGCTTTTATGTGTTCGCGGTCCTCAAAATTAAGGAAACGAGGAGATAGAAGAATAAGTTACTATTGAAAAAAGTTTAAGATTGACTGATATCTTTCTTTAATGTTAAACTGCCCCGAAACGCTCCTAATTATATTAATAGATGATAGAACCTGCACCTTACGTGTCTGTACTTCGGCACTCATCACTTCAGTTTAAATTCTTACACACCTAAGTACTAATAGATAACTAGCCCTTCATCACATTAACTTGATTTTCGCCCATCAAAAGGTTTCTCATCAAGAGCACAGTGCCGTCTTTCTTAGCTTAGGCAGGCATAGTCCGTTTTCTACAGCCCTACAAAAGCGAACTCCGAGAAAGTTCACCCCATTGACATCTGCCGAGTCGACAACTGCAAAAATACCTCCAGTCTGAAGAACATTGTACCATCTGTAGCGTCTGTAGCCAATCAATGGGACACGAGGACACATTCCCAATATGGCGGTGGTGTTGTTCCGATCACGACAATGAAGTTGTACGGGGTTAAAGAACACGCGCGCGCGCACGAAGCGAAATCGCTCGGATGTACGGTCTACATTCTGTCTGTTGAATGTCACGGCATTCCAGCGAGATTAGATGCTTCGGATTTTTTGCGGATTCCTCGGACGGTAAGGTAACACGACTGCCGATAGTTCAGTGCTGCGAATAACGCGGTAGATTTGACACCATTGATTTTACGCGGAACATAATAATGAAAAAAGACATTTTCAAACTGCATGTATTTTAGTTGATTGCTCGGATATACGGTCTACATTCTGTCTGGTGAATGTCACGGCATTCCAGCGAGATTAGATGCCTCGGATTTTTCGGACGGTAAGGTAACACGACTGCAAATAGTTCAGTGCTGCGAATAGTGTAATTTTCGAGCGTTGCGCGGTAGATTTGACACCATCTAGATTTCACGCGGTAAAATGAAAGTGCTAGGTGTCAAACTGCATGTATTTCAGTTGCGGTTTATCCTGTAATATGGTATCATAGCTATGTCACCTATGCATAGGTGAAAATATTTGAACACGTAAAGATACGCGTATAAAATCCATACTTATAGAGAAAACTTTCAAATACCTTCACCTATATAATTTTTACCGAACTTTTTACCGAACGTCTTTGTTGTAAGTACCTCTAACCACGTGGCGCAATAAATACCTAAGCAATTATAATTAACGTTCCGTTTGACGGTAATTTTAACGGGTCGTTAGAGCAAAATGTCACAATGGACAAAACTAATGACAGTTTAAGAATCAGTGCGATACTCTTTCGCGAGTCTGTCAAAGATATTTTAGATAATTACTTATGAACTCATTATGGTGGAAACTGGCAAAATGCATTTGTGTCGATTCTGGGGTATTTCGCCAGCTAATACAAAATGGGAAAAATGTTAATCGTCCCTTTACAAATAGCAATTTAGAATCCAATAAAACTTCATTAACTGACTTTTTAAATGTACAGTAGGTTCATTAAAATAATACCTGCCTGTCTTGTTAAAATTTTTATAACTTAACTTTCTGCGATGAAGTATGATCGACCCTTATCAATAACAGGGCCCCACTCTGTTATTTTAGCTATTGTAATGCCAAAGATACTCATTTGTTTATTGCAACTGTGATTTTTCATACTAAAAACTGTTAGCAGAACAAGAAACTACCAAAACCATCCAACTAACATGCCATCGTCCCACATCTGAAATGATTTTCATTTTGCTGACTTCGGCCCCAGAAAACTGTCCTGTAATAAAAGTATCCACAGCGCTGAATCACAGTAAACAAGATGTCACCCAGCGACCACCACCGGTGACGTTTGTCATTCTAGCTAATGTCAACTATATTTCAAACACGATAGAGTACCTTTTCGTACGTAAAAAGTTCGTGCGAAAAACGTCCGTCTATCTGCGGCGGCCCTTAGCACTACTTTTTCTCCATTACACATTAAATAAATGTTTATTTATTTTGTGTAATGGAGGATTTGCAATTGAATCTTTAATGAATGGAGTCAATAATACCATCTTTGGGCTAATGAAACTAGATCATTTAATTAAGTGGCGTATTTCCTATGGCGTTTTTTTCTGAACACGTCTCTAGGATGGAGCTCATTCAGAGACCACATCGTTAAATTAAAATACTTGCATGTGAAGGGGGCTTAAGGCGAGTGGTGGAGCAGAACTAGTGCCATTTAATAAAACTTACTTTTTTGTTTCGTCTTCGGGTGGGACACCCACCAAGTTATCCAGCCATCACCCGATGAACCATGATGTCAGAGTCTTGTTAATTAGGGTTTACTGGTAAAAACCGTACTAATTTTTCACCAGTGTAACCGTATTTATCAGTACACCCTTGATGTTCTTTGCGCAAGTTTTTGGTAGCAAAGTTAATACTAACAGTTTAAACATTAGCACGTAAGTTTGTAATTGTATATTAACACATCTAGTCGTTCTGTTAAATAAAGCCAATATTATCATACTAACAATCGCTATGAAATATTTGCTGTTATTAAAGTCATGGATAAAAGTGCCAAGTGTAAAACTGATTTACCATAATTTACTTATTTTTGGCTTAAACCAAAATAAAAAGGTTGAAAATTGGCCTATATAATACATGATAATACAAAAATC